ACTGCGCACCCAGATGCGCAGCGCGCGCCGGTGTGCGCGCACCCTGGGTCCGCGCACAGCGCACTGCGCAGCGCACAGTGCCGGTGCGCCGCAAGTATGCCGAAAACCCTCGGCCCTGTGAGTTGGGGCCGGGTTCTACGGAGGGGCGGCAACCGCTCGTCACCGGCGGGTCCAATCCCGCCATTTGAAAGCCGCGACTTTGGCAATTTTTTGTGCTCAGAAGACTTCTTCAAAAATTCTGAAAATTTGAGGGTCCGTAGATTAGGTTGTGATCTTTCAAGGAAAAATATCAGAATAAATAAATAAAATAATTTTGAGCGTAAAATAATCGCCGAGCCGATTCGGCGCATTTCCAATTTTTTGTCAAATTCCATTTTTGCCATTCACCCGGATTTCCACTCTCTGCTACCGGTACCCCTCGTGAAACGGCGCTACCGGTACCCCAAGGTTTTTGACGTCGGGGGGAGTGGTGGGAATGTACGTCTACTGAGTGATAATCTCACAGTGGTTGGAAATGGACCGTACCAAATGTCCAACCCTACTCTCGTAACTTTTTCACCCGAATACAACGTACCATCGTCATAGCTGCATTTGGGGTATCTTTCAGTCAAAATACAGCTATAATGACCTTATGTTCTATTCAGTTGAAGAAGGTAGTTTACTAGTTGCTCCTCTTAAACCTCCAGTACATTTGGGCGACCTCCAGCAATGACCTTCTTTCGATGTGCCGGCTTGCCTCAGTCTGCCTTCAGTACATTTGGGTAACCCTAAATCTCCAGTATCAGTCGGCCTTCCCACGTTTTTGCCTGTATACACGGTGACCGTTATTTCGATGTGCCGGCCTGCCTGCAGGCCGTTTGTTATGTACTCGACGTGCAAATTTTATTCGGGTGAAATCACCCCTCTGCGTCTGGTAGTTCAATGCCTGCCACCTTCAGCACATCCACTGCCTCCAGTGCCCCATCCTGCTTTGTCTCATCCCCATAGTCTGGGAAGTCGTCAATCTCGGTCGCCTGACCATCATGGCCGACGAACAGGAGATTGTCCTTCTTCTTTCAGTCTTGGGGAAGTCTCTTCTTCCTACTATCTGACTGAACCTGATGAGCGGACCCAAGCTTAGCCTCTATGTCTAAGGCTTTCTTGCTGAATGAGGCGAAGTTATGTTGGTCGTTGTAGGCCTCGTCCACCAGCTTATTCTTGACATCTGTGGGCAGACATCTCAAATAATTTGTGAGGAGTACATGCAGGTTATAGCGCACACGAGGTACTACGATCACTCGCTCTACGGCGTCGGTGACTTCGTGTACAGTCCGGTCTTGCTTGGAACTGAGACTGTTAATCGCGGCAGTGGCCTTTTGAGCCCCTTGAGGATCATGCCACCTATTGTACACAGTCCGTACGAAGTTTTCCAATGTGTGAGCCTGGGCCCAGGCATCGAAGTTCTGACCATAGCCCTGCTGCTGCACTAACCCGTTTAACCCAGGGCTGCAAACCCGGTAGGACCGGGGGCCCCTCCCCCAACCGGAACCGGACCGGTCCTACCGGCCGGTCAACCGGGCCGGTTCCCCCCCGGTTGGCCGTAGCGCATCATTTTTTTTTTGTTTTGTTTTTTAAAATTCCCAGGGTGTTGTAGAGGCCAAGGACTAGATCCCCGGTGATTGCTGGCAGCAGCAGTTGGTGGTTGTGCGGACTAGATCCCCGGTGATTGCTGGCAGCAGCAGTTGGTGGTTGTGCTGACAGGATAGGCCACATTCCCTACCCTTCCCCACATTAATGCTCCCAGCGCACCCCCTATCCCTACTATCCTACCTCAGTGTGACCAGCACTCAGGACCATCACCCTACCAGTATGGAGGGCAACTTGGACCAGACAACAGTGACAAGCACCCCCTAACACTATCACCACCACCCCCCTTTTCAAAGTTTTTGGGTGGGAAGTACCGTCCCTACCCTGCCAGTAACACCTCC